CCGCACCGCCTCCCGTCACCCGCCGGCCGCCGCCGCCGCATTCGAAATTCGCAGCCGCGCTCACCCATTGGCTGGCTGGGGGGCGGTCACGTGAGGCGGCGGCGCAGCCACTGACGCAGGCAGAGCCCCGCCCCCGGGCGTCCCCACGTGACTCGCTGTCGGCAAGCATCCACATCCGGGCACCCACGGGCCCGAGCCCCGGGAGGGCGGAGCGGGTCGTCCGGCTGGTCCGCCTGCCTGCGCGTCTCGGCTCCGAGTTGCTGACTTCAGGGGTGGAGCCGCTCCCGGCCCTTTGAGCGGTGGGTAGTTTAGGGCGTCCGCAGCTTCCTGTTTCTTCAGTTTCGCGGTGTCGCGTCTTCGCGGTTGTGCTCTAGGGGTCCCTCTGCCGAGAAGAATCCCCTTGGCCGGTTGCCCGCCCAAGCAGTCGAGCTGCTGCACGGAGGCAGCTTTTAGGGAGCAACAGCAGGGAGAAAGTCGGGGGTTAACGGGACGTTATTGGGGAAGTCGCACGTACCTGAAGTATCCAGCGCCAGGTTCTTTCTGTTTGCCCGCGGGAAGTGGCACCGGCACCCACCCATACCGCCCGGGGGTCGGGGGACGCTGCCTCGCTGACCCCTTTCCCCCCTCGGCCTCAGCGTCGGTCGGTCACCCAGCCCGGCGACTCCACTTCCTCAGTGTTTCCCGCGTCCGGACCTCACTGTTCCCCGCGCCCCAGTCCGCCTGCCCCCCAGTCCCTCGGAGCTGCCCCGGCACCCACTCCGACCGCGGCCTCCGCTCCCGCAGGCCCTTCAGAGTGGCGTTTTGACAAAACAACCGTGACTGACTACGGAACTCCTAAATCACGGCCGCCCGCGGCACTTAAGGACTCCTCGGCGTTTGGTCCTTCAAGAGCCCCGTGGCTCCTGGTTTCACCTCTTCTGAATTTTCTTCCGTTTCCTGGCCATGCCTCTTGCTTCCTTTGCCCACGCTGCTGTGTGTGTCAAGAAGAGGGTTTCCTCCCCCCGAGCCCCGCTTACTCTTGCATGCTGCAGGTGTCACTGCGGAGGGAAACTCTTCCCGAGGCCCCGTCTGTCCCCAAAGCTCCGTTAGCACCCTGCTTTGTGCTTCCCTAGTGCCGTGCGTGTTCCCCTGGGCTACCTTGTGGCGCTGACTTGTCATTCATTGCCTGTTGCATACGAGCAAGAACTGTATCTACCTGTTCATACAAGTTGCATACGGGTAGTAACTGTATCTACCTGTTCATGGTTAAATCTTTAGCATCTGTTTAGAAATTTGAAGTAAGTTGGTAAATACTCACTGGGACAATAAAGCAATGGATACATGAAACCTAAGCAAGTGCTTTGAATTTAAGCATTCAATTTATTATGAAGTTGTGTTTTTGTTTTGTTTTTTAAGAAGATAACATTTAATTAGTGGGGTGATCACACTGTAAGGTATAAAAGTGTTGAATCACTGTATCGTACTCCTGAAACTAATATAACCAATGTAAAATTGTATACCAACTAAAATTTAAAAAAAGATAACTGATATTACACCCTCACCCTAGTCTAAGCCTCACCTTAGGCCTTCCTGGTTTAAGTGGAAGAGATTAGAACATCCTTCTTCAGCCAACACAACTTGTTTTCCGGTGTCATCCACCAGATTACCTCCATTAGTCCTCAGTTTACTACACCTGGGCAGTGTGGCTCATAGGTGCAGAATAAAAAAGGAGAGGAGAGGTTTTTTAATTACCCGAGGCTAGTGGGTATGAAGTGGAAGGTGAGAGCAGGGCTGGATTCATGGGCATGTGACCTGTTCTCAAAAAGGCCCTGCAGTTGCTCTAATGCTCTGCTCTTGCCATCTTGAAATGCTTAATAATTTATCTTTGCTCTTGTAAGTGAAGTCTGATGAGACAGTGGAGCATGCACATGAATATATGAGATACGTGTGCCCATTCCTGCCTTTTGCTGCCTTATTGCCATACAGTGTGCAGGATGCTCACTAAATGGCTTCACGATATACTTTGTACTTGGGGCCATGTGTTCAGTGGGGCTTCACACTTGATTTTAATGCTCTGCGGCCTTCTTCAGATTCTTGACAATTATATCTTTGAACTGTGTACTCACTTTGAATCTCATTGAACTTTCATGCTTTTTAGCCTAAAGAGATTATTATTAAAATCTAATCTGAGATTCTTTATTAGCAAACAATTTTAAGAAACTGAAGTTGACTTTATGGAGCCAATAAAACCCCTTGGATATTAGCAAAACTTTAAGTGAAATATCATCTCCAAAAAATGCACATAAAATTATTATTCTTGCTATAAGTATTTAAATACCTAGGCCAAATTTAATGAGACTAGACTTATTTTCAAACAAATTAGTGTTACTGTGAATATCTTTGGTAAAAATGGGGAGAATGTAGAGAAAAAAAATGTGTTTCAATAGAAAACTACTGTGTACCCATTATCAGATTTAGTCCTGTTTATTGTCTTTGAGGTTTTGTTATCTACCTGCAAACTGGACTGGATCCTGAATTCTTCGAGTTTCCTCTAATATCTGGGTACAACTCTCCAGACTAACATTTCCAATTTTCTCCCACCCTTCTGACTTAGAATCACTAAAAACTAAAACTGTCCTTTCCCCACACTGTAGCTAAAGGGGGACAACTCAATATAAACTTCAGAGACTGCACGGCAACAGATCATATATGTGCCATGTTGATGCCTACGTCTGTGTAGGCCACTCAGAGAGTTCACCAGAACACCCTGACACCACGAGACATTCAAACTGCAAGCCAGGAAAATGCATCAGATTGAAACTGTCATCCTCATTCTGCCATCTAATGATGCTTCAATATCAAACCTAGAAAATGTCTCAACTGACTTCTATTTAGACTCAGAAAATAAGTTTATAATTTGCTCCAACTATTAACCGTTTTTCCCCTTTTTGTTTCCATAGAAATACCTCTTATTAAATACCACCTGATTCTTTACTTAGATGGAAGCTCATTTGCAATACCACCTCTTGAAGGTGTGTGTCTATAGGAAAAACAGTACATACAGGGTTTGGTACCATTAGTGGTTTCAGGCATCCACTGGGATTCTTAGAACCTATCTCCCTCCCCCTCCACTTAAGGGGGACTACTGATAGAGACAACAGAGTTTGAAGTTTCACTTGGTCTCTTTTTCCATATCTTCTCACATCATTTTTTATTAAGTGAAATTCATAGTAAGTACACACAGATTGAAACTCTGATACAGCTTTTCATTTTTTAAAAACTTTCTGAATCATACACACTCAACTATACATTTTGCTTAGAAACATTTATTCTATGTTCATTTCTATTATACAAAATATCCTCAAGTATCTACATTGTGGTTTATCCTTGGAAATCTTTATTCCATTTGATGTTCTAATTTCTTTTATAAACCACTTTCCTCAAACAGAACTTTTCTTAGTCCTACCACTGCTGAAAGACTAGAATGGAAATGTGCAGAGAGAAAGTAAGTTTTGCCTTAAGATGGCACTGTGTGTCAGAGAAAGAGGCAAATTGCAAAGGAAATACTACAACTAGAATGTGATTTCTATAGCAGTCAAGAGATGCCACACAGTTGCAAAACCCCAAATTAATTCTTAGATTTTCTATGGCAGTCCTTTTACGTTAACATGGCTAGTTATGTATGAAATGTATCAGCTCCGTGTGCAATGTGTAATGATAGGAAAAAAATGAGAATTATTTTCCATCCTTTTTGTGTTTTAAATACGATTTTGCTCAAATAGAAGT